GTCAGCATCTCATGCTGGAGATCTGCTGTTTGGTCTGGAGAGCGTTGTTTACAAGGAACAGCTCAATGGTAACACACACAGACACCCCCCAAACACACCTGGAAACACACAGGTCTAAGAAACTGTAAAGGAAAAGATTTAGCGACTAAATGAGTCCAAAAAAATAAATGATGACCTCTCTAAGGACATTGATGGGTTCTGCAGGACTAGGAGAGGTTTGAACAGGAACATTCTGCACAGCTTGGTGGTGTTTCTACCAACTGGAGCTGCTCATCAGAAAATCAGAGCGAGGGGGGAGGGGGGGAGCATAAGCAGGTGGAAATGCAGCTGTTAGTTCCTGAATCCCTAGGAGAGATCAGGGCCTCCCTTAGGCTCTATGTTCATGCAGACCCTGAACTTTAGGCGGTTCTGCTGCTTCCTGCAGCTTCCTGCTTCCTGCTGTTCGGGCTTTTTTCTCTCTAACTGCTGTTTCTTTCTTTAACGCTGCCAAAGTCTCAAAAGGACATAAAAAAAACAAAAAGCACAAAAAGGCTTTCAGGAAACTGAAGCGACACGAAAAGAAAGCAGGTGAGTCTCATCTTTCGACTGAAGAGACGTCTTTCCTTGGTCGGCCCGATCCTCCTCGGTCCCGGTCGAAGCTCCGGTCCACGTGGCATCGACCCGTTTTCTAAAGGTTCTGCTTGTTTCAGATAAACCTCCAGAGGAGAAGAAGGACACGTTCATGGAGAAACTCGCCACCCAGGTGATCAAAAACCTGCAGGTGAAGATCAGCAGCATCCATCTGCGTTACGAGGATGATGTGAGTTCTGGTCCAGATCCGGGTTCAGGTTCTGGTTCAGGTTCTGGTTCTGGTTCTGTGTTCTGTGGGATGTCTTTGATCCTCAGCGTTATGGCGTCTGTTTCAGCTGTCAGACCCACAGCGCCCCCTATCGATGGGAGTGACGCTGTCAGAGCTCAGCCTGCAGGTAAACGCCGCCTCCTCAGACAGGCTGATGATGATGATGATGATGATGATGAAGATGATGAAGGTTTGTGTTTGTTTGACCTTTAGACCACAGACGAGAACTGGAAGCTCTGCATTCTGAACGAGGCTGCAAAGATCATCTATAAGGTGAGAAAAATACAATCTGGCTTCATTATTGTTGAAATTTGAAAAAAAAATGTATAAATAAAATTTTCGAATTAATGAAAATATCAGAAAAGGTTTTAAGAGTAACTTTACCATTTTCTCACATTGTTACTTTTTTTTTTAATCATTAAAAAATATATTTTTTTTTACAAATTTCGTTTTTATATATTATATTTTACTTTTCTTAAATTCAGATTTTGTATTTTCAGTTTTTTTTAATCTAATTTCAAATTTTTAGATAAAGTTGTACGATTTGCAAAACATCCGATTTTCTAGCATTTTGGGGGTTTGGTTAACTCTGATAAGGAGAGAAGACGCATTTTAATTGGTCTACTTAAACGTTAGCAACAACATTTTTATTGGTCAATGTGGGCGTGAACGGGGCATGTGAGTATGGGGCATAAATGTAAACTGTCTTTATAAATGATCTTATTCATATATATATATATATATATTAGTGGTGGAACGGTTCACAAAATCCACGGTTCGGTTCGATTCGGTATATGTTGATTGTTACACCGAAATCCCATAAAAATGTATAAAATTAATGAAAAAATCCCCAAAAATAATGGATTGTAATTATTTTAAATGATCCGCGGAAACCCTGGATCATTTCCGTATGTTTTGCTGCTTTGAATTTAATCATCTGGCGCATGCTCTCTACCATCTCCAAGGAACTCAGAGCGGAGCGGAATGGAGGGAGCCACAGTGGAGGCTGTAGGCTTTGCTTTG